GGAGGTCCGGGCGTGGTTCTGAGGGCTGGGGCTGTCTGAAGCCAGTGGCAGCCCCGCTCCCTGCCTCGGCCCGCTCAGCACAGGGTTTAGGCAGCGTTTTATGTGTCCCCGGCAGCGTCCTGTCAGACCTGTGACGGGCTACACGCCGGGGAAGGAAGGAGGGAGCTCTGCTGAATCTTCCCTTTTGCACCTCCCCAAGATTGGAGCTCTGGGTGGGATCCATCACATTTATCACATTTCCCTGCCTGCTTTAAATCCTGAACCCTCACATCTCATTCAAGCACAAAATAAACCCACCGATCTCTTGTCCTGAAGCCAGCGCACAAAACTGCATCTGGATATGCAGATTTAGGTGTCTCAAGCCAAATTCTCATCTCCATCACCCTGGCAATAGATCAAACGCTGCCCCTCCCTCCCTGCACATGTCAGCATCCCCCCAGCTGCAGCAAACAGCTGAGTGCGCGCCAGGAAGCGCTGGGCTAGAAAGGGCAGAGTCAGCGTAGGCCAGCCTGGAATAACAAAGAGGCTAATTATGGAAACGTGGCCACCATCACCAGGCCGGCGCGGAGCACGCGCGTCGAGCCCCAGCGAGCAATCAGCTCCAGGAGAGCCGCCCTTCGGGAGATCGCGGGGTGGATAATGTCTTGGGTTACAATATGCAACCAAAAATGTGTAATTCTATTTTCATCTGTTGAAACCGGTTGGAAGATATTTTCATTTCTTGATAACTCCAGGAGGACTTTAATCTGGATCTATTTGGACTTTTTTTTTGTTTCCCAAGTCAGGTATTCTGACTCTGTCGGGTTTTGGGATTATTTGTTTCTTGTTGTTCTTTCCCCTGTATCATTACCCTTGTAGTTTGCAATATTCTCAGTAAAGAACTGGTATTCCTATCCCCATATCTTTGTCTGAAAGCCCCATAAGTTCAAAAGTACAGCAATTCGGAGGTGTGTGTGTGTGGGGGGTTTACATTTCCCGTTCCAAGGGAGGCTTTCCTCTGTCTTCTAAACCAAGACAGATTTTGGCGCCCAACGTGGGGCTCGAACCCACGACCCTGGGATTAAGAGTCCTATGCTCTACCGACTGAGCTAGTGCGTCCGGCGTGAGCCGCTCAGGAGTCACGTCACAGACTGACGGTGCAAAGAGCAGCCTCTTGCTTTGGCTGCTGAGGCTCGGCTCAGCTTTCCTAGAGCCATTCAAGACTCCAAAGGGGACCTGGTTCAGCGTTTGAGCTCTCCGGAAGAGCTCTGAAGTTGCTCAGAAGAGTTCACTGCGCTGGCAGCCTCTAGCAGCGCCAAAGGAAAGAGCTTTGCTGCCACGGTGACCCGTGCGACAGCATCTCCGGGCGCAGGAACCGCAGCGAGGGCTCCCTCCCCCCTCGCTGGCACGAGAACCGAACTCACCAACGTTAGTGGGAAAGATGTCCTCGTTGTTGATCTGTACCTCGATCCAGTCCATGAGGAGGTTCATGTACTGGGGAGCGGAGAGGGCCGTGGGTTTCCGGTACTTGTGCTCGTCCTGCCACCGGTACTCGTACTTGGGTCCCCCGGACATGACGGGGCAGGACTGCTCCGTGCAATAGTCACTGATGGTGCCGTAGATCAGGTTGATGCGGTTGAAGAAGTCCACCACGTGCACGGCCACCCAGTCGTTCTGCTCCTCTCCTGGCGGCAGCTGGACGGCAACTTTCAAGTCGAGGCCGGCGTTGAGCGAGGCTTGAGCCTTCTTGTGCAGCTCAAACCGCTGAGTCCCCGGCTCAAACTTACGCTTGGGCCGGAAGGTTTTGTCTTTATTGAACACTTGCTTTAAAGCGTGGGACATCTTTCTTCTCTTCTTTTTTTTCTTCCAGATCCGTAGCGACGACAGCTGGAGACGCGGCGCTGCTGGGCCGCTTCCCGGGGCAGGGCTGGGGCCGCTTCGATGTTCACAGAAACA